AGGCTTTTTTTACAAACCCCCGAGACCATGAAATGTGCTAGACGAACATTTTGCAGCTGGTGAATTTTTTGTTTCTCCTATGAGCTCTTAAGGTAAAATTAACTGTAGTGCTCAAACGGCATATTTACGAACAGGGGTTTATAAGGCAAAATTGCATATTTTTATGCCCTCTACAACCCCTATCATTTTGTCGCAATAATTATGGAACACCCTGTATAAGTGCTACTTTTCCTTACCTCCCATACTTCCATGTGCTTGTTGTATAAAATCCTGCTCTAAGCAGAATTTATTATCAAAATTATATCAAAAAAAAATATCTGCCCGTGCACAACCAACTATTTTGGTTCCAATGGGCTTTACAAGACAATTTAAAATTTTCTGTGACTTATAAAACATGTTAACTTAAGATTATTTTGTAAAAGTCAGGTATTATGTTTTATTATACTTTTATTATTGTACCGAAGTTAGCATTTGTATTTATTAACACATTGTATTTTGGGGGAAAATAAACGTATACTACTACTACTACTACTACTACATCAAAAATGCAGCGGTTTCAACATAAAAATGAATTAATTGACTAAAATAAATCAAGATTGGATAAAAGTATAACATATACATACTTATAGAATGATTTTAATGCATATGTTATAAGCAGAAGTGCGAGAAAAAATGTACCTGTTTCGATGATTGCTCGAGAATGATTTTTTTAAATATTCTTCGGAATTCTCGAAATTTAAAGCTTTAGTATCAGAGGGTAAAGCATTGTGCATGATAGTAGCATTATAAGTAAAACATTTATTAAAAAATGAAGTTTTTTGACGAGGCATTGTTATTGCATCAATAAAGCAAATATCTTGTGAGAAGCCGCGAAATTTTAACTTATCTTTCAAAAATGGGGAAATTGAGGTGAGTGTAATCTTTTGAACATAGCATTGTAATTGAAAAACGGATGATGAACAATTTCGCAGTATGTAATTTTTGGAATAATTAATGACTCAATTTTTGTTATTGAGAATTTGTTTGTTCAAGTATAATTGGCGAAGGACTACGAACAGCTTTTTGTAACATTGATTAAATGAGGAATGGGATTCAGACATTCGTCAAGAGATATGCATAGATTTTTGGCAGTTTCGCATACCTTTATAATTTCACCACTTAATTATATAGTCGAATATTTCTTAATTTGAGTTCTAAATTTTTCAGGAGGGAATATAGTTTTTATAACTTTTGACTTTTCTGAATTTCATCTAAAATTATGAATCTTAGCAGTAATCTTGTGAAAGTTTCATCAAAATCCGTGCGGTACTCCTGAAGTTATAAACGATGATTATTAGACAGACCGATGGAAGTGAGTGACAGGGATATTCGTGATGTACATGTTACAAAAGACAGATAAAACGTAATATCTCATGTTTGAAGTTTTTCGTGTTTGCAATTCTCCTCACCCAGTAAAATTAAGTGGGTCAAGTGAACCAAACAGGAGCATATACAGTTAGTACATAGTTCATAGTCCCCATCCATTTGATAATATTAACTCTATACTCTATTTGTAGTCCATTTACGCCCCGATACAACAAAGAGGTAGTGCGGCAAAGCGGCAGCCGCCTAAGCGTTGCAATAGCCATTGGTCATTCATTCATTAAACTACGAACAAGTGCAGGAGTCGACAGGATAGAACTTAGACTCAGGATATCGCCGGCACGTCGACGCTGGCAGTTCCTGTTTATATTCGGTGCATATGTTACCGGACAAACCCTTCTTCAGGATAAACTGGTTTTTCCTAGGCCAAATCAGTGTATCCAATGAGCGATAGGATGATATAGTTTATCCTAGTCTAAACTGATTTGTCCTAAAATCAATTAAGTGTGATCAGACAATACTGATTTGTCCTAGAGAGAGAGACATACAGTCTCTTCACAAAAGTAATGTTTTTACTACTAATTGACGAAAATACTATTACTACAAACATGTTTAATAACTTTTATTATCTACTTGTTATTTTTCTTGCAAAGGTATCGATTTGACGTACACTTCTTGGTGCAACTACACTTAAAGGAACCTTGACCTGTTCCAACTGAATGTTTGATCGCTGCGGTTCTTAACGAAAGTTCAATGTTTTTGTTAACCTCTTCCATTACACATTTTTTGCGCAGATATATTCATTTCTGAACTCATCAGCGGTGAGGTAATACTTTATATTATTTGTATTTTGTTCATTTCGAGCTGTAAGTTTCTTTACACCTCCGATTTCCACCACATCAAATCTTTTCAGTATTCTTTGTAACAAGAGTGATTTCTTTTCCGTTTTTTCAGCCTCTTGCACTTGTTGCATAGGTGCTAAATACTTTTCCTTTGTCAAAACATAAAAATGAGATGATTTTTCATCCTCAGATCCTAAAACCGCTTTCAAGAACCTCTGCATCCACTCTCTTTGACCTACGTGTTGACTACCTCATCCATAATAACGGGATACAGAAATACAACAACACGAAATGTTTCAAAATGTCTAGGTTGTGAATAACACCCACAATACCCAACGGATTCAGACTAGTTAAATCTCGGTACGAAGCAGTTTAGACTAGGGCAAATCAGTTTTACCTAATCATGATTAATTTATTTTAGCATAAACTAGTTCATCATATCGCTCTTAGGATAAACTGATTTGGCCTAGGAAAAACTAGTTTATCCTGAGATCGGATTTGTCCGACAACATATACATGGCGTGTGTTTATACGTCAGCATGTCGCCTACGAATACAGCAGATGAAACTGAGAATGTCTCTTCAAATGCTTCCTTCAGCCATGCTTCCTCTTCAGTGATGGCTCCTCCTCGTCCTAACGTTTATATGAGCGAAATTTTAGAGCATCCTGGAATGAAAATAAATGAAAGATGTGTGGCGAACAAAACAGGCTTATGTCCTAAGACAATGTTCAACATTGTTAAAGAATATAAAAAAAACAAAAAATTGTCTTCACCATACACGAAGCTGTTGGATACAGTTGATATCTTTGATCGGAATGCCATCAGACGCAAACTCCATCAATTTTTTGAAAGGCAGGAACTTCCCACCATCGACAAAGTATTACAGGAGGTTAATAGTGATGAAGCCTACCTACTTTCGAAAGTACCACATTCTACTATAGTTTGCTCAAAGAACTTCATTTTGAGTATAGGAAGCGGGACAGAAATAGTATTTTGATTGACAGCCAAGAGATTATTTTCTGAAGAAGAAATTATTTAAAAACAATAAAGAGATACCGCTACGAGGGCAGGAAGATTTATTACTTGGATGAAAGCTGGATAAATGCAGGACGTACTAAACCTAAACTGTCGGCTGACTCTACAATTAGATCAGCAAGAAAGGCCTTCTTAGATGGACTAACCATTGACCTAAAGAATCCGTCAGGTAAGTAAGTGTATCTAACCAGTTCGTCATTTGTGTTGTAAAAACGGTGTCAAGTAAACTGAATCTATGAGCCCACGCTGAAAACTTAGCTACACTAAACTTAGCTATATCTTGTAGATTTGGAACCAACAGCTATTAGATACGCTGCTTGTATTATTATTAGTTTTCTTGAATACTATATGAAATAATTATTTCCAGAAAAAGGAAAACGATCTGTTATATGTCACATTGGCAGTGAAGATGGCTTTGTGCCCACTGCCTGATGGGCATTTGAGTCAAGGAAAACGACCGACTACCGTGAAGAAATGGACGGGAGCTCATTTGGATGTTGGTTTGAAGAAACGCTCCCAAAGCAGAAATTCAACAAGAGCTCCTGTCAAAAGACATTAATTTCAATAAAAATATGGTCAAAGCACAACTTATCTAGTCAGGCAGTACAAATATAAATATAATCTTAATTTTATTGACGAAATGGCTAAAAACCAAAATTATGCCGATTTAAGGCTTTATCACTGCGAATTAAATCCCATCGAAAAGATCTGGGCAAATATAAAAAACTATGTGGTTTCGAAACACTGACGTGAAAAATTTGTTTGTCAAGCTGTCAGCAGAGCGACAGCAAACCATTGGAAAGATTTCATCCGTCACGTTCAAGAGACAATCGAAACAAAGATGTGGGATCTGGACAATATGATCGATATTCAAATTAAACCTGTAATAATTAATATTAACCATTCGGGCGATGATTCAAGTACTTCCAAAAATAACGAATCATGAAAAAAAAGTATGTGGACTATTTTATTTTGTTAGATTATTCCAAGACCATTGAGGAAAATACGGACCTGTACAATCCAGTGGCGCTCCCAGGACTTCAGTCTGGGAGGGGTAAAATGGAAAGTAAATTCTCAGTGTGAAGTAATGAAGTGTTATAATGATTTAACATCAAAATCATGGACATATCCAGACGTATAAATTTGTTACAATAATTTCTGTAGAAAACACATTTTTTTTTTATTTTGAATCATACGAAATGAAAGTGTAAATAAAGCAAACCAAGCTCGAGCAATCTTCATGTATTAAAACAAAAATGTAAAATAATATAATCTATCATAGACTTTTCTACATAGCAATGCCAGACAAAACAACAAAAAATACATCTTCATGAAAAAAATAACTAAAACAAAAACATATAAACTATGAAACTACATCAGTTCACAGTCTTAAAACAAAACAATCATATTACATTAGCTTATAAATTGATTTGAACAGACGGAATTTGCGCGTGTTTCTTGTACAACTGAAATAATATTACCTATGAGTTTGACAGCGTATTGTTTGTCAATTGTTTTTGATTGTAAAATCTTACTGAGGTTGACTATTAAAGCTAATACATCACACAAACATTTTAGTGATACGATAAATTGGGTGGAAGTAATGGCAGTCTTCAAAGACTCCGCTTTTGAAGAAGCTTCGCGGTCTTTCCAATGTATGATATAATATTTAGTACCTCTACAATTTTATCGAATTTGCTTTAAAATTGGAGCACAGAATCATGTCTCTCGGTCCATAGTGTTTCGCACATACTATGAATTTAATATCCGTCTAGTTTTCTTTTTAATACTGTATTTCTTTTAGCGGATGCTTTAAAGAACGCAATTACTTCTTTCATTATACCTACAGCATTTCTTACTGCTTGGACACTGCTGCTTTTTGAAATCGGAAGATTCAAGGCATTATTTGCGCATGGGCCTTTTAGAGCATTTGGCAAACATTTTGCTAATTCTATTACAGTGCCCTTTTGTTCACGTAACATTAGGTTACACGTATCAGTAGCAATGTCACCACATAGTTTTAAGACTAAGTTATCGGTTTTAGTGAAATGCTTGATTGTTTGAGCAAGAATTTGACCTGTGAGTTTGGGCTCCATTGTATCTTCATCAAAATTTGAGTAGGCATCCACAAATCCCATCAAGTCCTCGTAAATATGTTTTTGATGACAATACCGCAATACGATTGACATTAAATTTATGATTTATGGCTAATGTCTGTAGTTTCGTCAAATATAATACTGTAATACTGACTTTGTCTGACGCGAGTTAAAACTATATTCAAGATTTCTTCGCCACCACATTCTATAGTTTCATTTAGGATGCGGCTGCTTATGTACTTAGCATGCGCTTTTGAGCTCCCTAAGTTTTTTTTTCAATAAATTGTCGCCGCTCTCGACTCTAAATCGTCTTAGTTCTCTGAAATTCCCTTCATTATTAAGGACATCCTCGTCATTCGAGCTATCTCTCCTCCCACTTCCACTGAATATGACGGCCAAGGAAAGTTCTCAAAGTGTTTTTCTGATAAATAACATTTCACTTCTTTATTATTTTTCAAGTGTATGAAATAGGGATATTTGAAAGAGTCATTAGGGATCATTGCACACCTCAATAAGGTATATTTTTCATGGGAAGGCAAGTTGCCGTTGAAATTTTCATATGGCGCAACATCAACAAAATTGGATCCTTTAGGTTTCGCATCCGATTATTCAACACTTAGTTTAGCATAAGGTGCAACATTAAGAAATTTTGAATTGGAAGGCCCAGGTTGAATTGTAGGATTATCATCAGTTTTTTCCGATAATTCTTGTGCCGGTGGATCAGACAGTATGTTTTGTTTAGAAAGGAATCAATCGATGGTATTCTGTTTCCATTTACTCATCCTGACAACAGCAGCTGTCAACGAGCACTAAAAGTCACACAATTATTGTCAAAATTAACGACATTATTGGTTTCCACGCATGCACGTATCTCATAACAAAGAACCTTTTCTGTATGGAAAACAAGATTTCTTAAGTTCACGCAATTTTCAGAAACTAAATATATAATTTGCCATCTCGGACGAACGAAGTGCACTGAAGTGCTTATATACAGGGACTTCCGAGACAAGATAGACATAGATGATAATGATAGCTGCAGTATGGACCAAACTTCTCAGCCAAATTTTGTTGCGAACTCCGGACTAGTACAGAATATAGACACTAGACTAGACCATAAAAGACTAGACTATACCTGTTCCAACAGGAAGAAACGCACACCGTCGCTGTGGGTGGGAGAGTAGTCGCTAGTCGAATGCGCACTTAGCGGGTTGGCAGTGTTACCGCTATTCTTTCTCAAAGTTACACATTTTTTATAAGACGTTTACTTTACACCATCTTTTCAAAGACCGCTCGAGCCGTCTGGGGGGGGGGGGGGGTAATTACCTCCTTTACCCCTCCCGCTGGAGCGCCAGTGGTACAATCTCGCTTGGGCATGTTGTGTTTTGTCTGGGCGTAAATGGACTACGAATGCGGTATAGTTCCTTCCCTGCCGTAAGTATTGACCATCTGGCAACACTGCTGGAGCACAACGATCAAACACGTAATAAGCGCCAGTCACGATGCTATAACATCTCTGTCCTCCATTGCGTCGTGCTGACAAATCCGGTGCCTTGTCTATAAATATTTCTCTATGAGGGCGAATGTACGGGGACATCTTTAATGTGTGGAATGTGTACTGATAGGTGCATACAATTACTAGGGTTGGAAGCGTACAAATACCCTGCCACCAACAAGTGAGATTTACCTTCTTCCACCCCTACAGTCCTCAGCCTTCTATTTTAAACCTCTACAAAAATTTTTGGAAAATGATCAAAAGCTTCTGGAACGCCAGACATCGAGCGATCTTAGTTTTTTTTCGTATTTCCGCCCTAGCTCCTTCGCCACTGGACGAATGTTCAATCGCTATAAAGATTTTTCATCGTTGGCATGTAGTAGTAGTAGTGTAACCTTGTGTGAAAATTTTATCCAAATCCGGGCGGTACTTTCCAAGTTATAGGCGTTCCAAAGCTTAGCGGACAGACCGACAGCCAGACACAGCGACGGAAATGAGTAATATGTTTTTTTGTAACGTGCCATATAACGTCCAAAAAACATGATATCTCATTTTCGAAATCTTTGTGAATTACAATACTTCATCGCTAGTAGACGTTAAAAGTAAAAACGGGTTTTAATGTTAACAAAATGAAGACCTTACTTCCCTTGGAAGGACCAGTCTAAACAAATCTGCTGTTGCATTCACTATTCGAGTTTGTCAGTTTGACATCAGGTAAGTAGATGTTTTAAAGTATTTATGAAACGAATTGAAAACATCATGATCGTAATGTATAATCGAATAATTGGTGGTATATGCTGTTAGTAGTGAAAAAATCTATACACACCCGTTTCAGAAGGCCATTATTGAGCTCGCACATATTCTTCGGCGCTACGCGCCTCAGGTGTTGAATATGGTCGTCCAATAATGGTCCGTTTCTCGTTCATGGTATGTAAGGTACTACCGTTAAGCACCATATCGTTATTAAGAAATTCTTATCGAACTGGCACCCCTTTTAACGAACATAGCGAAAAACTCCAAAAGTAACCTGTGATTCTACGCGAGATATAAGTTTTAAAGATCCCGTAAGTATCATAGAACCGAAGAATTGCCGACAACATATTCATTGAATAATTTTCATATTTTTACGAGCTGAATATGCTCTTCAGTTTTTGTCTATGCATACATAGAAAGTAGGGGTCTTTTCACTTATTTTTGAAAAATATTGATTAAACCTTTCTATATACGCTTTATCAGAATATCTTCTCTTGGGTACCTTGATGTAACTCAAACATATACATGCATCTGTTATTCTATGAAAACCAGCGAAATTAAGGTAAGCATTTGAAAAAGTAGCAGACAATTCTGCATATCACCAACGCCCCTCCCAGGTAAACAAACGCACACCAACTAGCCAGCATCTGCGACCTAGTGGTGTAGATAGCTATAAATCCGATCGGGTTATCCTTGACCAAGTTAGCAGGTGCAGCCATGCGGACGCGATAATACTCTGGCTCCGGTACTGCCGCAGGAACGCAGCAGGCCGATAATGAAGGGAGGCGTTAGGCATGTGAAGGACGTGAGGATGACGGACACCAATCTTATCATGTTTGGCACATACTTGTTTTCAGTGAAACAGTTGTTCCAGATAAGTAAAATCCTAATTTGTGAATTACTGCTAAATGTAAAAATATAACTTTGTTAATACATAAATTACATTATACGCCTTGGGAAAAAACATTATTATACATTATGATGAGGAAGAGAGATGGAAATATACAAAAGTATGTAGGTGCGTGAAAGACACTCGATTGTAGGATCCTATGTGGCAGCGTCGGAGTGTGACGGACAACGGGGTAAAGTAGAAGAGTGATAAAAGAGAGAGGTGGCAGAACGGGCGCTGGCGCCTACCGCTTAGATGGATGCGCTCAACAAATGCGATTTGTTTCTCCCATTCGCAGAGTTGCCGATACCAATATGTCATATTTCTAAGAAATCTAAGTCTACCCAAATTTCGGGAAAAATAGCTGCGGATTCCACATAAGAGCAGGTATTCCAAAAATGAAAAAAGTTCAAATTAAAATTGTATTAATGTTTCATGGTTCAAATCATATTTTTCATGTTTGTATATTGTTGTATAGTATAAATGATTTTGTAATCCCTATTCTTGTTGCCAGTAGAGATACAACAGTATTGAGAGAAATCATGGACCGCTAGATAGGGCTACAACTACCATATGACTATCAAATAGTAGTGATAAACAGGGTTTGTTTATAGCACAGTTGCCTGGTGTGGCGAATTTGCGCCATAGGGGCGATTTGACAACTTTGAAGGACAACTATAACGGTTACTATGGTGCCCGGTATTCGGGAATCTGGCAATACCTGATGATTCCTAACGTTTATTACGCCAGATTGTTTGCTGACTTGCGCAGTACAACATGACAATCAACGTGACTGAGCACCTGGTAACCCTGGTTTAAGGTGTTATATTTAAAGAGCTTGGGGCAGTTAGGTATCTAGGTCACATTTTTTAATGTATTTCGAGAAATCCGTAATGTTGAGTAAATACTAGATCACGTTTCTTGCTTAGTTTGCTGAAAATTCTACAATAGACGTACATTTTGAGAAACAGAGATTTGGTGACGACAAAATCGTAAAAATATAACGCATTTTCGTAAAATAATTTCTTTGTTGAAAAGACTGTGGCTTGATGACCCATTGAACGAGTATAGTGTCCCGCTCCGCTTTGAATACTCGAAACACTATACTCCAGCAGCATTCAGCTTCAATGTTATCTTTATGAAGTTCTAACGTCTAGGCCATGCTGATTAAAAGCTTGAATGAATCAACACTTAACTCTAAATTCCCCACAATTCGGGAAGCTCTACTCAAATTGGCAACACAGCGTATCTGCCTATTATTCTCATTCGTGATTCAGGTCTGCGGTTAACGGTAGGAAATATGTACGAATTGCGATGAAAGTAGACGAGCCGTTGCGCTGTTGCCAAGAAATGATTTCCCATGTATAACAATGGTTTTTCCTAAGGTGTATATACGAGTATATGAATATATTTTACTAATTCTTCAGATGCTAATAAAGACTATGAATGTTTTGTTCTCTTATTTCTTGAAAAACAGTATGTGGTAAGCAGTCAGCTACATATTGCAAATCAGATACTCAGAAAATAACTTTTCAAGCACCCTATAAAGTATATTTGTTACACATGACCATTTTTTACTGCAAAAATAAGTCAAAAATGGTTTTCACCTATACCTTTAGTCAAAAACATGTCTGGAGTCTTGGAGTCAAAAGCCGTTTCAACCTATGTTCTTAGTCAAAAGTGCTTTTGCCTGACTTTGAGTTTAGACTGTCGGTCAAAAGGTGAGAACATTCTTGAAAATCATCAGAATTATAATCAAAAAAGTTAAAATTGTACTGTTTTTCAGATATAAAGTGTATGATTTTTGCCCCAGAATTGATTAATATTGTGAGAGACCAGGACTGCAAACTAACTAATATATTCACCTTTTTTATTTATTTTTTTTATGATCATATTTTCTCATCCGTCACAAAAAGTATTTAGTACTGGTGGATAAAATGGTATCTAAATTGATTTATT